GTACGTTACTTGATTTAAAACGGTCCCCTTTTGCGTGCGGCTGTGTGGCAAAGGCGGATCAGGAGCTGGCGTGTCTGGAGCGTCTTCCGGTAGGAGGCAGATGTTTGTGATTGCTTCAGCTGCGGCCCGTACGAGAAACGATAAATCTTAGGCTTGTTTCGTTCGTGAATACACTGACCGAAGTCAACTATAAAAACGGAGGTAGATCAAATAAAAGAAAACTTAGATTAAAACAAAGTAGGAAAAACGACGATGAAGAATAGGCAGAACTCCGGCTGGAGTTTGCAGGACATTTGGGATTTCTCTCTCTGGCTAAAGACTGCAAAGAGGAGAAGGTGGCGGTCTATTTTGAAGGGGCGCGGGACACGCCTTTCTCACGTGTCTGATCCAATCGTTTGGCAGCGAGGCGGGTCGCCAGACCTTGTGATTCCCGAGGTACAGCCTCCCGGTCATGTGCATAGCAGATAAAGACTTAGTAACACTATACTTCTTAAACTAGGTATTAATAAAATCATGCATCATATTAAATTTTGAGTTGCTGATTCAATCTTCTTTGGTTATTCTGATTACAACGATATCGCGCACGATAGAGTTATACGTTAGTAAGATTACGATACATGATTTTCGTGATTAAACACATATCAAGTCTGATTACATATTATAAACTTACAGTTATGCAGATTTGGTAACAAGGGAATCATGAAAACACAACCACAAAACATTATACATTTACAAAAGGGGATTTTTGATCCCATGTGTTCAGAGTGTTCCGTGTGTGTAAATGGGTGTTCAGAAGTTCAACCAGCGTTGGTCACGCGGTGAATTTGTGATCGAGTCCAGTATGTATGTGTGTGTGTTCATGCGTATGTATGTATGTATGTTCAGAGTTCATTGACCGATGGTGACGGGGGTGAACTCGCGACCAGTCCCGTGTGAGCGTGTGTGCTTCGAATTTGATGAGTTTAAACAACTGCTACAATGGCCAGTTGTCTAATCTCACAATTCTCTTCTGTGTGTGTAAGGAAAAAAAACCCAGGGGGGGTCACTGGATCTTTAGCTTAATGGTGGTGGGTCACATGTGGATAGTGGCCTCATGAGCGCATCACTATCAGTAATTCAATCAAGTCCAGTCACCATCCGCTTAGTGTGGCAAATTACAACAGAGAGGCTTTGTGAGTGACTCGGTAATCTAATCAGCAGTTCCAGGACACCTACTTTTGTCATAGTCTCTGAATTAAAAGAATGCAAAAACAGCAGTTTAAGAAAATGGCAGATCTGACCATGGCTACATCTGCAACGACAACCCGATCACACTAAATGCGTCTGTTTAGCACGCATTGTGTTTATCGTGCAATTTATACGCGAAAATTAGTTTTCACGTGCATATGATACGCATGGGTAGGTTTAGTAGTGGTGTCGGGTGCGTGTGCATTATACGTTGGGTAGGATTAGTGGTGTGGGGTGCGTGTATTACAAGCAATAAAGTGCGTATCAAATGCACGCGAAAAACTGCTTATCATATGCACGTAAAAACTAATTTTCGATATTATTGCTGGCGGGCCAGTTTTGGCCCGCGGGCAGCCTGTTGCCGACCCCTGGCGTAGTGGGTATAGTGTTCCCACAGCGTCTCTCGACGCAGCTCGAGTTCCCTTGTAAGGGAACGTCTCAGGTCACGACTGTAACCCTGGTTCCCTGAGAGGGAACGAGACGTTGCGTCGCCCTGCCATACTCCCTGCAAGCCTGTGATCGACTTGCTTCAGCCTATCAGAAGCTGATGCGGTCTGTTTTCAGGTGTGCTTTATAGTTTTCTGGTCGATGATGTCACCCGCCTATGACGTCTCGTCTCTCCATTGGACTGATTATACACGTGCTTTACGACGCAATCACGCAGGGGCGTTCCCACAGCGTCTCGACGCAGCGTCTCGTTCCCTCTCAGGGAACCAGGGTTACAGTCGTAACCTGAGACGTTTTCCAGCATCTTTTGCATATTTGAACCCTTTCTAGCAGTGACTGTAGGATTTTGAGATCCATCTTTTCACACTGAGGAAAACTGAGGGACTCAAACACAACTTTAAAAAAAGGTTCATACATTCACTGGTGCTCCCGAAGGAAAACACAAGGATTAAGAGCCGGGGGTGAAAACTTTTGAACAGGATGAAAAAAATAAAACAATATTTTTTTAAATATCATTTTTTTTCTTTTAGTACTGCATTTAGTACTACGTTAATAAGTATGGTGATAAAAGATATTGTTTTGAGATAAAACTGTTTTAAAATCGTTCCTGTTTGTTATCTTATAATCCAACAGTGTACAAAACAATAGTCGCAAAATGGCAGCAGTTGCATTTGTATGAAAGATGCAAGAGAGATCAAGTCCACGATACTGGATGACATAATTAAATAACTGTACACAAAACATTTATTTGACTGAGTTTTAATATTTTATTAGCTCACCAAACTTCCAAAAAAACAACAACAACGTTCCTAGCAAGTGTATAGCGTTGCTGGTGCGATTGACCAATCAGAATCAAGTATTCCACAGAGCCGTGTAATAATGTTCTTTTAACTTGACTTACCTGTTTTTTTAACGATACAAGTCGCGTTGATCATGACTTTTTGCGCATGAATGACTTGCAACAAATTAATACGCTTGTTGTAATGCTCCCATACAATTACCACACACTTGTTGCCATCTACTGGCATAATGATGTTAACTACAAAAACAGTCAACAAATGAATCAGTGAACAAATCTATCTTTTTGATGAACAAAATTGTTATTGAGATTAAGTCAAACTTTCCAACACCTAGCTGTTAATGGGCACATTTTGATGCATATTGGCCCTCATTTATCATTCTTGCATAGAAACGGGCGTATATGTTGGCGTAAGATTATGCTTACACTCCTCTCACCGCCTGATTTATGAAGCTGTGCGTACCTTTGAAATCCAGGTGTACGCAATACCTGCCCTTGATAAATCCCACGGCTGAAAACGATCGTCATTAGAATAACACGCCCAAGTCTCCGCTTCCCCCACGCCCTCATTTTACGCCATGGACACACGGAAGACGGCAAAGAAGAGAAACTTCTCTGACGTGGAGCCGAAATGACCTATCACAATGCAATATTTTACAGCACGTCTTCTGAATTAGCATTCAATTTCGAATCACGTTACATGTATTGGGGTGTACAATAGTGATGATGATGATGTGATGTGGAGTAGGCCTACCATTCATTCACATTAATAATTGCATGACAATTTGTAATATGCTTCTTATTATTAGTATGATTTGTATTATTAATGACGCTTATTGTTATTTAGAAGAAGAATGTCATTATTATTATTTGTATTATTATTATTATTTAAAAGAAGAAGAATGTATTTTTTATTATTTTGTCAGTCTGAATTATTTGTTGGTCATTGAAAGCCTTTCGTTACCGAACCCAGTCCGTGCGCACCTGCCGGGGATAGGCCTAACCATGAAACGTCAGGGTAAAGCGCACAGGCTCGCAACTGAAGGAATACATATGCTTATAAATCAAATGCTTTGGTAAAGTCACACAAATTAAACATTGAAGTCCATGTTGCACAAAAATAAACACTGAAGTAAATAATTACTATGTTTTTGTTTTTTTGTTTTACAGTGGGTCATAATATATCATATCTTTTAGTTTGTCAGTGCATTTTATGGTGTTAGGAATTGTTTTTCTGCGCATTTCCGCACTAACTCAAAACGTGCGTACATGTACACCACCTCCTGAGCTGGCGTAGGATTTGAGCGTGCCATACACCAACGTCCATATTGATAAATTTCAAAGTCACCGTGGTTTTGGGTGTACGCCAGGTGTACGCTGGAAATTTGGTGTACGCACTTTTGATAAATGAGGGCCATTGTGCCCAGGCTAGGCCCTTGAGTGGAGTCGATTTCCCTAAATGAAATCATCACCACAGGTTCAAATGACTCTCAATTGTCAGCACCTCAGAATCGAACAATCAATTATTTTTGGGATTGACTTCCAGCCCTGGAAGTCCTACTAGCAACGGACAGCGCAGAGACTCTGCTGTCAGTAATTTAATCACTTTCAATGTGAATTCCTGCTCCTTATAGACACCAATTGGCATTTTCCCAGGGAAATAAAATATTGTATTCCTTTATGAAGCTTTTTTTTGCATATACCTTGGGAGGGAGATATTTAAATGAGAAATATTGCGTTCCCGCAAGAAAACTCCAATCGAGGCGTTTCAGGGAGTTCAGAAACAGTGTGCACTGATATAGAGTGAGGAGAGGACTTTGTGATTTGTAACTTGAAGACTCCGTTCATGCAACATTACACTCTAAAGAAAGTTGAAAATGTAAAAAAGTCCCCTTTAAGAGCGTTTGTGGCCATTTGTAACTTGAATGTGTCAGGCTTCCGGTGTCAGCCACTTCCAGTTATTTTAGCTGTACAAAAACAGTTTGTTATGATGCTTGAGATTGTAAACTGGTATTTATTATTTTAATGTATTATTGCAATCATAAACACACTGGTTTGTAGCACATATAGTTATTCATCATTTACCTAGTGGCTAATAAATCGGAAGCCTCACACAAATTCACTGTAAATGGCTTGCTTCTGCGTTACAAAATAAAGTAGACAGGTTTTACATTTACATTTACATTTATTCATTTAGCTGACGCTTTTATCCAAAGCGACTTACAATTGCTATATATGTCAGAAGGTCGCACGCCTCTGGAGCAACTAGGGGTTAAGTGTCTTGCTCAGGGACACATTGGTGTCTCACAGTGGATTCGAACCCAGGTCTCTCACACCAAAGGCATGTGTCTTATCCACTGCGCCATCACCACCAGGTTTTGTCGAATTGTGACAAGTTCTTCCACATACATGAATACCCAAACACAATTATTTTGCATAGCAAGTCAATCAATAATTACAAGAGATGTATGATGTTCTGTATGCAGTGATTGTGTGTGTATGTGTTTGTCTCTGTCGCCCCCTACAGGCTGGTCTAGAGCATCACTGCAGGAGTGGGGCTCTTACATGAAACTGGCCATTCCCAGCACTCTCATGCTATGTTTTGAGTGGTGGGTCTATGAGATCGGAGGTTTCCTTGCAGGTGTGTGGATGTGTGAGGAAGTTTGAGTATGCGTTTGTCTTGTGTTTCTGATTAAATTAAATGAGTAGTTGCCAATTTGATATACATAACAGAAAATATTCCTATTGGTCTTCAACCTGAAGTGCCACTGCAATCATGTTAAATCCCTGACAATTAATGCTTTGTTAATTACTATTTTGTTATTGCACTGATTCAACGTCCCAGGTGGAAGTGCAGTGCACAAATGTTTGATGGCTTACAAATCACCTCATAAATTGCCTAACTACTTTATGTTTTAGTGCAATGCCACAATCAGAGAAAAACACTCTCATTCCACACATAATTAAATAACATCCATCCCTCTTCTCATCCCTGATTGTCAGGAATGCTCGGAGAAGTGGATCTTGGTGCTCAACATGTGTTGCTGGAGGTGGGGGCCATTACTTACATGGTAAGACAGCTTTGTGTAGCGTTGAGCTCACAATACTTAGAGACTTTTTGACATTAATGCCAAATTATTGTTAAATTGAATTAGTGTGAATATTTGCATGTTTTAATGAACATATTTCATGTTTAGTTTCCATTAGGTGTGCATGCAGCCGCTTGTGTGCGTGTGGGAAACGCGCTGGGAGCTGGAGACACTAACAGGGCCCTGATCACCAGTAAAGTGACTCTCGTGATCTCCGGTTAGTAGACTATGGAAATACCCACATAGTGGTATATGAAGCTTAACTCTTTCCCCACCATTGAAGGAAATTTCCGTAATTTATGAGACAACGCTTCCCTGCCATTGACGGAAATTTCCGGATTTCCGTGTTTTCGCTGTTAATCACAGTTGAAAACATTCGTTAGAGATTTAGAAGAGCAATCATATGTAATCAGTTATAACTTATATTACTTTAATAAAGTATGGTAATTTAAATAATTACACTACTTATTGCATTATAAATAGGGTAACTTTAATCTGTAACCTATTACATTTCCAAAGTAACCTTCCCAACACTGGGTGTCATACAGATGTCGATGAAAAAGGGAGGGAGATGACACATGAACTTTTACAAAAATAAAGCGTGCACGGATAAATCAAAATAAATACTGCAATATCCCATAAAAAAAGATTTGTTACGTTTGATTTCATGGTGAACGTATAGAAGAAAATATAATTTAAACCTTTGCATTGCAGGAGTTTTGGCTGTTTTACAGGGAATCGTGATGGGTTGCTCAAAGTCAGTAGTGGGCTACATCTTTACCTCTGATGAGTAGGTTTTTTTCCATTATAGCATACTGTATACACATGTATTGGATTATGATAAAACAGAGATTATGGATTTATCATGTGATTTTATATAGTATTATGTCCTCATTTTCTGCATAAGAAATAACAAATAAAAACACTGCTATTAGAGCGATTAGAGTGAAGCTTTTCTTCTATTTTGCAGTTCTCACTTCTTGATTTAATCTAACAGGAGCATAGTGAAGATTGTCTCAGAAAATCTCACCCTGTACGTCTTCCTGCAGTTTTTTGATGCTCTTGTGGTAGGTTCGAAATGTTTTAACATTTGTATTTGTTCAAAGGAAGGCAACACAAGTGAATCATTGGTGGCATTATGCTATCTCTTGTAATGCCTATTAATAATAGTTGTCTTTCATCATTATATGACTCTAGGTGTGATTATACTGTAGTGATAATGTCACAATTAGACTATCAGTTTACTAGGGAATGAAGCCTGGTTCTGTGAAATGTCGTATTTACTGATTACTGTGAAGTGTATGGTTCATATCTGTAAGACAGACTGATTGTGTTGTGTTTTAGTGTGTGTGTTCAGGGATTCTTCTGGGTGCTGGGAAGCAGAAAATAGCAGCACTGTCCAACTTGATCTGTTACTACTGCATTGGGTTACCAGTGGGAATATCACTGATGTTTCTGGCCGAGCTCAGGATACTTGGTACACCTTTTCGCATGTCCTGATTTTGCCAAGTTAGACGCGTTCCTTGGTCAACATATTTTGTTGATCCAGGAACAACATTTAGTCCTAACCATATATCCTGCCCCTAAACCTAACCCTACCCATAAGTTATCCCTAAATCAGAGGGAAATTATAGGTGAATAACAAGGATTTTGAAGCATATAACCCTGATTGTCTAAACTTGACATAAACTTTAAACTTGTCCCTCATATCTGATTGGTTGATTGGAATGTTGTTCCAGGATCAACAAAGATGTTGAAAAAATGAATGAAAAAACTAATGTCAAGCCCATAAAGATCTTTAATTTCATTTATATATGTGACAATGCCAACTTTGATAATAATACAACATTATTATGATCAATTTCAGCATTCCCTTGATTTATGTCACTGTTCAAATGTTTCTTTAGCAGCAAATCAGCATATTAGAATCATATTAGAAGGATCATGTGGTACTAAAGACTGGAGTAATGATGCTATAAATTCAGCTTTTGCCATCACAGGCATAAATTACAATTTTAAAATATAGTTAAATAGAAAGCAGTTGTTTTAAATTGTAATAATATTGTTTTAATGTATTTTAGGTCAAATAAATGCAGCTTTGGTAAACATAAGAGACTTCTTTCAAAAACATGAAAATAATCTTACCGACCCCAAACTTCTAAACACTATACTTTATATGCACTGGAGATTTTAATCTACAAAACCCATTAAAACACATTTTGTAATAATTATAATAAAGTCGTCAATTTATGTTTTTCTATAAAACTAATTTCAATACATTAAAGGAACACACTGACTTTTTGGAACTTTAGCTTATTCGTTATCCCCCAGAGTTAGATAAGTCCATACCCTTTTCATCTCCCCAATTCGCCTACTTATACTACGCCCTAAAAGTATATACTCTTTTTGTGAAGAAAAAGTAGATACTTTTGAGTGTGTAGCAAAAGAGTAGGCAAGCTTTGGGACATACTACTTCGTCAACTTTAATGGACAGATCTATCGCGTACATCCTATCACCGTAAACTACCCTGTCAATCATCTCATCACAGTTAAAATCCTCCATTCAATCTAATTTAATTTCTTACCGTTTCGGAGAGAAATGTTGTAGCACGTTCACCTGCCAGTCGTGGGTCTTTCATGCGGAGACTCTCCTCATGTGTTTGCAAATTGAATGTAGGCTAATGATGTATTTCAAAGCTCTTCTAAACCTCTCTACATAACCGCCGGACTCGCGTGTCCTCCATGTCTGTAGTTTTTTAACACTTTTCACTCGTGTTTGTAGTTCTAACCGAATCCTTGTCCAACGCACGATGGGTTGTGGGCAATATTAGCCATTAGACTGTGCATCGATCTGCACTTCGGATTCTGACCGGAAATAGTAGACCATCGGTTCCCAACAGGGGGGTCGCGGCCCACAAGGGGGCCTCAGCGAGCTCTGTGGGGGTCGCGTCATATTTTGAAAGGTTTGAGCAATGAGCATTAAATAAAAGTCCTTAACTTTTTTCTGTTCAAAATTTACAAAATTTATATAATGAGCGAGTTCATCATGAATCCATTTTCCAATCCATGTTTTTGTCTTATCCTGAACCACTATGGTACACCTATAATAAGTGTTTACATTGGGACTATTTTACACTGGTTCGGATCGCTGCCGCTGCGGAGTAGCCCAGTACCTGCGTGACTCGTCATAGATGTACACAGAGAGATGTAGTTCCGGCTACAATGTTCTTCCGAAAGACGCATTATTCTGTTAATAAACGCAAGTTTATTATCGCTCGCTATAGCGCCAAAAGCGTAAAAAATAAAGCCTCACATTGATAAAGCCTCACAAATAACATGCAAGTATTGAGGCCCCAGACAACAGTCATTTAGTAATAGCCTATATTCTTTCTTTTTTTTACCTACACACCAGTGTGAATATTTTTGTTTTTGCATTTCAAATTGGGCCAATATATAGGCTTCTCCTAGGCTTACGTTTTAAATTACAAAGGGCCTACTGATGTTTTTGTTATTGTATTTTCAATATTAGGCTATAGGCTATTATTTGTGCATAAACATACCGTTTGTTTGAAAACAACATATTTTGTCATCCTTGCTGCAAGCTTACAAGAGCGATAATATCATTAAATGTGAAGGGGGGCCCTAAAATATTTTCTTGAGAAAAAGGGGGTCTCAGACAAAAAAAGGTTGGGAACCACTGTAGTAGACCATCCGGGTATCTTTGGAACACTCATTTCAACATACTACGATTTGGGACATACCAATTCTATTTTCGAATACTATTTAGGACGGATAGTATGCGAATTGGGATGCAGCATCTGTCTGTCGCACCCACCGCTAGCCTAGCTTAGCACAAAGACTGGAGGTAAATGGCTCCAGCTAGCATACTGCTCCCAATAAGTGACAAAATAACGCCAACATTTTCCTATATACATGTTGTGATTTGTATAGTCACAGCGTGTACAAATAACAAGGTCACATGAGACACATATGGTTCCCAGTATGTATATGGATAGAAGATGGCTGTGTCTCATGTGACCTTGTAATTTGTACACGTTGTGACTATACAAATCAAAACATATAAATAGGAAAATGTTGGCGTTATTTTGTCACTTATTGGGAGCAGTATGCTAGCTGGAGCCGTTTACCTCCAGTCTTTGTGCTAAGCTATAGTGGTGGGTGCGTCAGACAGAGTTACGGCACGCACAGAGATGAAAAGGGTATGTATGGACTTATCTAACTCTGGGGGATACGGTGAATAAGCTAATGTCCCAAAAAGTCAGCGTTTTCCTTTAAGCGCATATAAACTTGTGATTTTTAAAGATTTTTAAATAAACATTTTGATATAAATTCCTCACCCTCATGTTGTTACAAAGTACAAACCCATAAGACTTTTGTTAATCTTCTAAAAAGAAATGAAGATATTTTTAATTATTAGGTAATTAAGTAATTGCTGACAGATTTGTTTTTTTTATTCTTGGCTGAATTAACCCTTTAATGTAGATCCAGATTCTCTGGTCGTATAGTATGTTTTCTCTTCAATCCAGCCATATAATAAAATTCAGGCTGCATTTGTTTATCTGTTACCTGTTCTAAGCCTGAAACACATCTCATTTTCATTTCCCACTCATTCAGGTCTGTGGCTTGGTCTCTTGATTTGTGTCATTATTCAAACCTGTTTCTTCACCACTCTCATCTTCAAGCTCGACTGGAAGAAAGCAACAGAGCAGGTGGGACATGACAAATCAAACTCACATGGTCAAGCCAAGCTGCCATCCTGGAAGGCTGTTAAAAGTGTGTGATAATGTTGACTAATATCTTCCTTAGGCCCTGAAACGTGCAGGCAAACATGCAAAAGTTGTGTGTGTCCAAAAGGCGCCGTCGATAGGACAGTCAGTCATCGATACACTAGTTTCTGAAGGGGAGGAAAGCGCGCAGCAAACACCTGATTTTGGGGCTTCAGCAAGTATACCTGAACCTTGGGATGACATAACTGGAAACAAAGTAATTGCTACATTGATGAAGTCTGTCCCGAAATATAAAACTATTCTCAAATCCCTGTGATGATAACTTTTATTTATATAATTTTTTTTGCTACTTTAGGCCCAGCTAACAAGTAATAGCTCTGAAGCGGCTGGCTATGTACAAGTTAGTACTCAGGAGCAGGGTAAACTAGTGATGGAGAGTGAATCTGGAGAAGCTCGACTTAAAGTATTGCTCTCTACGAACCAGCTTGTGCTTAGACGGGGACTCACACTGTTGACCACCGTCCTGATCCTGATAGCTGGAATAGCTGTGCATGTAGCTTGTCCTCTTCCAGAAAGTTTTATTCGACGTCAGAGCAACCTAACAATGGATTCAAAGATTTTTTCCACCCTTAACACATTCCTCAACACCACAGCAAGCTCACTCTAACTTGATCCATCTTACCAAGGCCCCAATTAAAAAAGAAAAAGAAAAAAAGGTTGGGATCGTGACTGGGTCAATCCATCCAATCTATACAAGGAGGACATAGGCGAATCAGCCAAATACCGGCAAAATGATATTCGCAGTATTATTTAAGAGAAAAAAAAATTACATCTCTGCCAGATCGTAGGCTTACAGAAGGGGATTTCTCTGAACGTACAATATGGACAAATTTTCTGGGACAGTCTCCAGCCCAACTGTCTAGGCCAAAATACAGCTGCATAAGACTACTGAAAAGAGCATTACTTATTGTTCACTATATATTATTTCATTTCTTAGTGAACAAATTTTACATTTTAAACAATTTTTTATATATCTGTTTATATGATGCAGATTATAAGGTTGTAGTTTTCCTTGTTAATGTATTTATCATATCAAAGTAAAGCAAAAAGTAAAAAACTATTAAAATCATTCTTTACCATTTTCTTTTAGGCAAGCATTTAAAGCTACACCATGCAATTTTTGATAAAAAAAGAAAATGATAATAAGCAAATACACTGTCAAATGCACATTCACCCGTGCATGTCACATCATATCCATACTCCGGCTGCTTTGGTGTGTATATATCATTTGTCCATTCGCTATGAGATGATGTCCTTGAACCACATTCATTCAAGAGGAGCAATATATGTAAAGAAATAATTGACGACAGGCCGTTGAATTATTAGAAAAATAATGCACACCCGAGTTGGAAATGCAGCCACGACGCGAAGCGGAAAGATTGTTACACCTCAAGTGTGCATTCATTTTCAATAATTCAACGGCCCAAAATCAATTATTCTGCTTACCACACCTCAAAACATTGTTTAGATGATGTACTTCAAGACATTTGTCAGGTTTTTGTCCTTAAAACATTCTTGTGTGTTGACTAATTTCTTGCACATTTAATCCCAAGCCTCCTTTGCTAAATCCAAAACTTCATTTCAGAAGTAGTTACGCAGGCTTGAGCCACTGATAGCAGAGAAATGCAGTTATTAATGCAGTTATAAGAGATAGAGAGAGAGAGAGAGAGAGAGAGAGAGAGAGAGAGAGAGAGAGAGAGAGAGAGAGAGAGAGAGAGAGAGAGAGAGTTAGCATGTGTGAATTACCTCAGTCTGTATGTCTCTTAACAGTTTGGCAGTTCATCACTACTAATAGTGAAGCTGTAAGTTTATCTGCTCCAAGAACAGCGGCATTATTACCTCGCTAGTGAGAAATGTCATTGTTGTCAAAGTTGTTAAACTATTTTACTGATGAAATCGTCAGAGCAGTACTGAAAACACATTTCTGTGTGAGTGTGTGTCGGTACTGTATGTGTGTGCGTTTGAGTGGGAGAGAGAGCGGGAGAAAGAGTATGTGCTTTCCGTACCTAATAAAACTTAATTTTGTGGCAAAAACATGGAAATAATTTGTCACTTGTTTTGGCTTTTTTTTTTTTTTGCAGAGGGACCAGAACACATTCATTCTTTAGCTGTCACTATCTTTATTTTAACCTCTGCCCTCCAGCCAGGACACCCCCCTTAAAGCCCCATGCATATTACTTATAAAGTTTTTTCAGTTTTTCAGTTGCCTCTTAAAGCAAAGGGAACCTTCCGACATGCATGTATGACTGGAGCCACCTGGTGGTCAATGTGGATTTTATGTTCACCTGGGAGGCATCCCATGCCCTCAAAAATGTCTCTGAATTCATCGAGGAGTGCATTATTGTTTGCGTCCTTTTGCACATTAACCACAAAGACCTTCTTGACTATAGATTCAATCGCACACATGTTTTTAAGCACAAAATTGTCAGCACCTATTTGCTTACATCCAGCAACTGTACTCATGTGGTGCTTTCTGCTTTCCTTTGTGGAGGATGTTTGATATGCAGCTGCCTGTCACGCCACATTTTCTCCTGTATAGCCTGTGACCTGTATTTTGACTGTGTGTAATTTTGGTTTCTGTCTGAGTGTTTTGTAATCTTTCTCTAGGATAAGGTTCAGTTGAATTTATTTTCATTCAAAACCTGGTGATAACACAAATGTCGCCTTTCTTGAACACTTCTGAGATAAAAAAATATGGATGTCACAAAATGTTCTCCGTCTCAACACTGATAAGACTTAGGTTATGCTGATTGGTTCACCCCACCAAATACAGAAAACTGGTGCTTGAACCCTAAATGTGGATGGATCTGCTCTTGAGTTTTAAAGAAAATTTGGTGCAAATTTAACATTCGATCCTCATGTCCAGTATACTGTTAAAGGGATACTCCACCGTTTTTTAATATTAAACTATGTTATTCCCTTAACTAAGACGAGTTGATACATACCTCTCTCGTCTCTGTGCGTGGACTAAATCGCTCTGTCTTGCGGCAAAACTTTGATAGCACTTAACACACAATTAGTTAATATGAAATAACATAGTTTAACATGAAAAAACGGTGGAGTATCCCTTTAAAACTTAATCTCAGAAACATTGCAAGACTGTGCCCCATGTTATCTTTTTCTGTGGCTGAAAAACTGATTAATACATTTGTTTTTTCTCGCATCGATTATTGTAATGCTCTGCTCGCTGCGGTCTCTATACATACAAAACTCTTCAAAAGAATCCTGACAAGGACCAGGACAAGTAAGCACATCACTCCAATCTTAGTCCTTGCACTGGCTCCCTGTCAGGTTTCGCATAGATCTAATAGATCTAATGCTTGCTTTGCATGGTTTAGCGGCACAATATCTGTCTGAACATTTAACGGTCTACACCCCAAGGCGTGATCTTCACTCTTCCAATTCTGGCTTTTTAACGGTTCCTTCACCTTGTTTATGCTCTATGGGTGATCAGGCCTTTTCTTCTTTGGCTCCAAAACTTTGGAATTCTCTTCCCACTGAGATTAGACATGCTGATTATTTTAGTGTTTTTAAATCTTCTCTTAAAACTTATTTTATTTATTATTATTTAATAATAATAATAACTGCACACCTTAGAATGTTCGTCAACCAATTCAAACATTCAGCAGCCCTGTAGTGTAGATAGATAGATAGATAGATTTTCTCACGGTTCGGTTTTTATCACGGTTTTAGGGTCACGGTTTCGGTATGTATATGTTCAGGGAAAAAGGACCACTGTCAAATAAAAATAAAGAAAATAAGAAAAAAATAATCAAACAACAAGCAACAGCACAAATAAATACAATAGAGCGAAGATAAACATAAAATTAACAGTGCTTTTTTTAGGTAATTTAGGTATCTAACAGTAGTTTTCAGGTACAGAAATTGATTGAAGTAATCTAATGTAAAATAACATTGCATATAATCTTTGCTGTTTAAATTAAATAAAGATTAATCATTATTAACCCTCTGGGGTCCAAGGTGTTTTTGGGGTCCTTGAGATGTTTTGACATACTCTGACATTTGTGCTTTTTTCAGTTGCTTATAAACATATTACTGGCAAAGGTGTAATTACACTCTATTTAGCACAAACAGGGCTACCATAATGTGTTATCAACATGTATGTACATTTTTGTATTTTTTGAGAGAATATTGTTTATGCGTGGTTATTGAAAAAACTAAAACTTAAAGTTTCTGAAATAAGGCCACAAAACACATACTAAATATGTGTCCACAAGACTTTTGACTAATGGATGTTGTCGCCTAGAGTTTTTTCTTCAAAATGATCTGAAAATCATCCTGCCTTAACATTCACATAAAACAATAGATTGGTTTAAATTTAAAAATGACACTTTTTGTTTGGAAAGGCAATATGCGCAGGGGTGTGACCTGCTGTGATTCACACCTGAGAAGACTATGGGCCCGCATAATGAGCGCATAATGGGGCTGCAAACTAATGACCCTTTCATTCAGGTGTGTCACTGAGCCACAAGAATGCAATGACAAAATATATATATATATATATATATATATATATATATACATATATATATGCCTATATAATACAAAATTGGTTCACAGTTCCAATTATTTTTTTATTTTTCAAATTGTGCTTGCAAATTGTATAATATCAAATGTAAACATTTCTAGTAATTGTGCAGTTAATTCTCATACTGTTTTTACAGAAAGTTTGGGAATATATCCCAAATGTGTCACTAATAAAACACAATACAAATAATTTAAAGAGGAGGCTTATATTGAGCTTTTAAGATTTACCTAAGATTTATTTATATGTAGCCTACATATATTTTTGCTATTTTAATAAAAAGGTTACAATTACAACAACAATTAAAATTTTAACTATATTTTAAATGTAATCTTTCTTTGTATATACTAAAGTATACATTTTATCATACATATTTCACAGTTGCGGATTAATTAGTTTGAATATAGCCTACAATCGAACAAACACTATAATAACATCTTAGCAAACAAGCTTATTTGATGTGGCAGTATTTTACAGTAAAAACGACATCTTGTCTTTCATATAACATATCGTTTTTATGATTAGGACATATAAATGTTAATTTGCAGTTTAATACGTTGCTTATACAAAAATATTTTATTTCAACATATTTCAGTCGATTTTTACTCATCTCAGTATTGGAATATAGTTAGGTAAAAGCTGTTCATTCATTCACACACAAAAATGCGATTCATATTCAAACAGTCTTTTTGTTTACAGATACTATTTCATATCGCGATTAGAACAAAGCACTTGAAAATAAAGAATGTACCTATTCCTCGGCTGGATCCGTTGCTCTGAGGTAATTTTTTCCAGGAGTATTATTAAGATAGTATTATTCCTCACAGCGTAGTAAATCTGAGTCTCTTTCGGTGGGTTATCCAGCTGATGTGGGCGTGGATCGCCTCAGAGCGTTTGTGTTTGAATAGAGCGCGCGCTCCGTGGGCGTGGTCAAATTAACTTTAATGAGCTGAGACGAGAACGACTATCATCTCTCTCTTTTCGTACAGATTACATAAAATGAGAAAATTTGTTTTTTATATAAATTACTTCATTTAAAAGAAGATAATTCAGGCTTCATGCCTGTGTGCCTGTATACCTGTTTGACTGAGTATTTGCAGTTACAGTTCATTTTTCGGACGCGTTTCAGAATGGACTTCACTGACAGAGAGAACGCAGAACGCGCATCATGTTTATTTTTCTTTATTAGGCGAAAAGCACAACACTTTGTTTTTATTATGAGGTTCCACAAAAAAAATACAAACTAAACAGGATCGAATGATGTACAACACTTATATGTAAGATCAAAATCAACAGAGTAATTTGAGTCTCTTTTGCACTGATAAGGAAAAAAGTGAGCTGGTATCGCCGGCGAGACCGCCGACCCCAGAGGGTTAAAGTTACAAAAGCTATTCAGTCAAGAGCAGCGAGTGATTTCTTTGTCTTTTGTTCTTTGATTAACATTAAAAACGCAGACAGCCGGAATATTAGGCTGCTGTCACTTTAAGACAATGCACAGATCAGGATGCAGTGATACCTGTAACACATGCATTGTCTTTGTCGACTGTTTACGTTCACTTAATAAATAAACTTCTTTGTTTGCTAGGATACTCGCCAAGACGGGCATGTTGACATCATTTTTGTGTGAATTTGTCTGTTCAAGCACAAGACTTA